TGGGAGCACTTTGTATAAACTATAAAATGAAATAAAAATAAAGTCTAAAAACAGGAAAAAGAAAAAAAAAATTAAATAAAAAATGTATTGGTAATGAATCTAAATGGGAGCACTTTGTATAAAATATAAAATGAAAAACAAGCTTTATTAAAGCCCAACAACCAATATATATATATATATATATATATATATATATATATATATATAATATTATATATATATATATATATATAATATATATATATATATATATATATATATATATACTGCATTTGTTATGCTAACATAAATTTTTTCTTTTTTTTTTTTTGAAAATGGGGATGTCCCCCCATGTTCCAACGCCACTGTACATAAATACGATTATCAAACTTTATGGTATCAAATGTAAAATAAAGTCAATGCTTGAGAGTCAGGAAGATTATAAATATCATTGAATAAATACGTATTAAAATCTTCAGATATCCGAAATATCATAAAAAGAACTAGGTATTCGATTTAGTTTTTCTAATATTCGGATATTTTGAATTGAATGTCCTATTTTTTTAATTGAATAAATACGTATTAAAGGCCTGTTTTGTTCACCTTTTTTTTCACGTATATAAGTTCAGATAAGTTCTAGTTAAGTTAAGATAAGTTCTAGTTAAGTTAAGATAAGTCCAGATAAGTTCAATTCAGGAAAAATAAGTTCTTATAAGGTTACCCAAGTTCAAATTACAACTAAAATAAGTATTAATAAGTTTAGTTAAGTTCAAATAAGTTTGATTAAGTTCAAATAAGCTCATATTAGTTCAGATTAGTTCAGATAAGTGAAAATCAGGTGAATAAAACACACCCTAAGTCCCCTTCTTATTGTATTAAAAAAAACCCCAAATAATGAACAAAGGAGTAAGTAAAAAGTTAGACCATGACTGTAATCATAATTTTTCATCAATGTACACTATATGCATGGTTGGTGACCGGTTAGGACCAAAGAAAGCTAATAACCCCAATGTTCGGATTATTTAAAAATAATGTAAAGTTAGGATGCTTTAAAGCGAATAGGTGAAAATAAGGATTATTATATTTTTACCAATTTTTCTTAATTTTTTTAAAAAAATTTAATATAAAAATTATTATCTCCATTCTAAAAGTTTAAAACATTTATTATTATACAAAAATTTGTGAAACTACTCCGTAGTAAGAGAATGTTTATGCGGTGAGTGAGTGGGTGTAAAAAAAAGTTGATAAAGTGGGAGAGAATTAATTAGTGGGCGTATTTGTAAAAAAAAAAAAAAAAAAAGGTGGAAAGAAATAAAGAGATTTCAAAGAGATGGGCGATACAATGAGAAAATATCCTTTATAAAGTTCAAACAAACTTTTATGAATAGTGTGCGGACAATTTGTACATCTAAAATGTTTGTTTATTTATTTGCCTTCATTGATGTTGATTGCCTCTTATATTATGAATAGTATGATATGCGAACATTAGGTTTGTCACAAATATTTTGGAGGCCTTGTGCCTAGTGGTGCTAATCGAGTTAAGTAGCTCGTGAGCAACTCGGGCTCGACTTGATCAAAACTCGGTCAAAACTCGGCTCGAGTTGGATCGACTCGAACTCGACTCGACTCAAGATGTTAACGAGTACGAGTTGAGCAAGCTCTAACTCGACTCGATAAGCTCGTGAGCAACTCGATAATATATTTTATTAATATAAAATTTACAAACAAAGTTATTACCATTGACTAATTTGACACTTAATAAGAGTTAATTTATATTATCAAAAAAGAAAGAGTAAATTTTTAATAATAAATAAAATAATAAAAAAAAAACTATATAAAGTGAACAAAAACAATAAAGGCCTATAATTTTAGAAGGGTCAAAACTTTAACGAGCATATCATGAGCTACTCGACTCGACTCGAAACTTTAACGAGCACAAGTTGAGCAGGTTTTATTGGCTCAAAACTTTAACGAGCACGAGTCGAGCACATGAAAAAAAATTTCGACTCGATTTGAGCACCCCTTAGCTCGTGATCGACTCACTCGATTAGCATCCTTTGTGCCAATTACAAAAACGAGGCCCCTGGAATCACTTTCAATTTAAAATAAATTTGGTAATGCATTCCATGAAAGTAAAAATTTAATTCAATTTATAACATATGCAATAAATAGTCACTTTTCGATTTGTTTTAAACCGGAGCATTTTCTTCTTGTTACTGACTCCCCCTCTAAGTGATCCGGTTCAAAACCGGAGCAAATACTCTTTTTTTTTTTTGGAGCAAAAGTACTTTTTCCACTAGTGGATGGATGGATGTTAGTGATGTGTAAAGCGGATTTTTAACAAATGGACGTGGGTGAAGCAAATGGAATGGTGAATGGTGAATGGATCAAATGTGGGTGACCGAAGCTCCACTTGATAAGAATTTGGTTCATTGCCACACACCTTTAGAGCACTCTCACTCATGGGCAAAAAAAATGCCTATGAGAAGAATATCATGGTAAAATTAGCATCCCACTCATGAGAAAAAAAAAAATTCCCATGAGGAGATTGTCAAATGCCCATGGGAATGGCAAAAATAAATTACTACAGTACTCGTGGGCCTTAGCTTTAAAATCAGAAAATTAGATAGTTTAGGAGAGGGAAATGTAGAGAGATAGTGGTGTGGTATTTTTTTTTTAGCCCATGAGTGTGTAAGGAGTTATTAAAATAAAATACTCATGGAGAAAAGTGGAAAAGAGGAGTGAGAAAGTGGGAAGAGAGAAAATGACTTTTTGTTTTTTTTCGCCCATGAGTCAGAGTTGTCTTACACTATAAGAGTTATAATGCTAATATGTATGTTGTGATTGTTGTCATCATATATCATCCATGCACCATGAACATTGTCAAGCAATCACACATTAATTCGATCATTGGCGTTATATGAAGTTGGATTGACTAACTTGTGAGAGGTGTCGATTTGCTGTTTTGCTCCGTTGTATGATAATTCTCCTTACCTACAACTATAACAAAAAATCAAAGGCCTCGTGGTTAATAAGAGCATCTGATGGACTACAATTGTTCTGAAAGTTTTAAACGTAGTCTGATCTTAAAAATGCGTCCATTGTATTTGTAGCATATTCTTCCTCTTTTAAAATAAAGGAAAAATTGGTTTTAATAATCCCAACTTTGGTTAATTTTCTTTAAATAATCCCAATTTTTGATTATTCTGGAATAATACCAACTTATACAGGTATCTTCTTATAATAATCCGAACTTTTGTTTTTGTAATACATAATGGTTCCAAAAGGGATCAACAAAAGCAACAAAAATAATACTTCAGATTATTTTAGGAAGATACACGTATAAGTTGGGATTATTCTAGGATAATCAAAAGCTATGATTTTTGAAGAAAATTAGCCAAAGTTGGGATTATCAAAACTAATTTTTCCAATGAAATGCCTCCATTTAACTAGGCATGTATGCCAATGCAGATTTTTAATCAATAAAATTTTTAAGTTTCAATTAGTATAAATCTTAAAAATTTGATTTTCGAAAACTATATATTAATGCAATCTAACAAGTTCTCATATAACTATATTATATACTTCCCTTGTTTTTCTTTTATTGCACCATAAGGACTTACACTATTCACTTAATCGATCTTCTTTGACCATCTTTTGTTATTTATCCATTAGGAAAAACATAATCATGTGAAATCTAGTTAGATTCATCTCGAAATCTACTTTTCAAATATCAAGTTTTTTTTTTTTTTTTTTTTTTTTTTTTTTTTTTTTTTTTTTCTTCCTTACAAAATTTTAATTAAAGTTATTAATAGCCAAAGTAATGCATAGGCAAACGTGAAATCTCTCATGGTGCAATATAAAAGAATGGAGGAAGTACACATAAATTTTTAAAAATTATATAGATCACTAACATTGGTTATAGTGCATTATGTAAATCGTGTAAAAAATCAAAATGAGACATTTACCAATTATTTATAGCGGCAATACCGTGGTCCTTGATGATGACAACCAACAAACATTATTAAGGTCCAACTACATTTGGCTGATACATAAAACACATGACATATTGATTTTCTTGGCAAATTAATATGTACGGTGCACTTGTTTGGTTGATAACAGAACAATCCGTCTTGTGTGTGGCTGGCCACACCGTGTGATCACTTGTAAAAAAGCAAAGTAACTCCTATAACACTGACCGAATAATCACTGTAATACTGATCGGGTAACCCCTTTACTACTGATCGAGTACCTCCTGTAACATTGACCAAGTAACCCCTATAACACTAATGAATGAAGTAATCCCCATAATGACTGGTCATACCGTGCGGCCAACCATATATAAGAATTTGTGTAGAATCCGAAGTTTCACTTCTCACAAAGTGGATAAATTTACTTACCTAGCTCGATCTTCCAGTTAAGTGTAATTATTCATGGAAATGGAAAGCAAAAGTTCTTTCATACAGTCAAACAAATCTTGACATTTCCAAGAAAATAATTTTCCCTTATGTTGAATCTTTGTTGGAATTAGTACTTTCTACATTTACTGAGGGACGTTTTGAGACCAAGGGTTCAAATTCCTTTACAAGCTTTTTTTTTTTTTTTTTTTTTTTTTTTTTTTTTTTTTTTTTTTGAAATACGTTTAGTACCAAATTTATTAATCAATGGAAAGATTGTCCATTAGAATGTAAGGAGAAATTACAGAAGGGCAAGAATTCTCCCAAACTTGTTCAACACCAAACGGTACTAAACTAGCAAGGTGATGAGCAACAAAGTTTCCATCCCTTTTAACATGAGATCAAGTGACAAAATCAAAGCTAGAACAAAGATAAAAAAATATCATCAAGCACCGAATCAAGATCCATGAAATAGGTTGCAGCCTTTGAGAGTCGAGTGATAACATGCTGACAGTCCGACTCAAAAATTACCTTCTTGTACCCATATCTTCTAGCTAGCTTCACACCAAAAAGCAAGGCTCTGCACTCTTGCAATTTCTGGTGGCAAGTAGCCACACACTGGTCTCACCCCCCTTCAAATAGGACCTCCCCTGCAGCGTTTCTAGGAGCAGCCCCAAGACCAATCCAGCCATCGGTCTTAAGGCAAGCATCACAGTCGATCTTCACGAAATCAGAAGGAGGAGGGAGCCATTTCTTCGGGCTATTGCACTTGCTCTTGCTGACCACACCATAAACCTTAGCAGCTTACTTACCACATTCTTCAACCAAGCGAAAAACTCTGTCTCTTACTACCAAATGAAGGACTTCCTTATTGTTGAAAACTTTCTCATTCCTACGGCTCTATATCTGCCATAGAATGCAACCTTAACAAGGCACTTTCTCTCATTCTTTTGCTTCCAATCCAAAAGCATTTCTTTGAAATCAAAAGCTGGTTCAGTGACAGCAAGCTCAGAGCATTCACATCCTGAACAACCGGACAGTAAGAAAAAGTGTGATGAAGCGTTTCAGGAGCACTAGAACACCATGGGCAAAGGGCGGAATCCTTCATATGCCTGTTATACAAGAGGGCACAAGCTGGCAGGGAGTTGGTGCTAATTCACCAGAGAAAATGCTTAACTTTTGCCCAAATGTCTACCCACACTTGATGGAAAGCCCCTAAATTGCAAGACTTCCCAAGCATATATGCAGTTTTGACATTATAGGCACCATCTTTGGAAAATGCCCAAGTCAATAATGTCATCCTGAACTCTATGACTAAGAGGTATAGACAAAATACATCTAACATCCCTCTCCTCAAAGTTACCAGAGAGTAATTCATAGTTCCAGTCCTTCGTTTCAGCATCCACCAAGTCCTTGACCACAGTCGGCTCGTCTGTTCTAGGAGTACAAACAAACCTCCAATTCTCATCCATAAGCCACGGGTCATCAAAAATTCTGATTTTAGAACCATCTCCTACTCTCCATATCAGCCCTTCTTTCACAAGGGATTTAGCTCCCTAAATCCCTCGCCATGAGTAACTGCAATTACAGCCAAGAGAGAACTCCAAAAAATCCGAGTGAGGGAAATATTTGCCTATCATTACTTGCCCAAAAAGTGAATCGAGATTGTTGATAAGTCACCAAGATTGCTTACCAAGGAGAGCTTTATTAAAAACTCCCATATCTCGAAACCCCATCCCACCCAAACACTTCGGTTTGCACATAACCTCCCAATTTAGCCAATGAACTCTCCTTCTAGAATCCGAATTTCCCCACCAAAATCTTGCTGTAAGGCCACGAATTTCCTCGATGACACTATTAGGCAACTTGTACACCCCCATCAAATAAGTCGGGATGGCTTGGATCACTGATTTTATAAGAACTTCCTTCTCGGATCTCGATAAAAGCCTCCCTTTGTAGCCCTGCAACTTTTTCCATATTCTATCTTTCAAGGCCGCAAGCACCATTCTCTTAGATCTTCCGACGATAGTAGGAAGCCCAAGATATTTTTCATGTTTAACTACAGGCCGCATCTGCAATAAATCAACCAACTCTCCCTGTTTCGAAACATTTACGCCTTTGCGAAAAGAGACCTCCGATTTTTCATAGTTAATTTTCTGTACGGAAGTTGCTTCATATATGTTGAGTATATCAACTATCTTCGAGCATCCACACAATTGGCCCTTGCTAATAGCAGACTGTCGTCAGCAAAGAAGAGATGAGAGATTTTCGACCCATTCCTACTAGCCCAAGCACCATGAACCAATCTGTAATCCGATGCCTTGTTTATTAGAGCCGAAAAAGCATCGACCACCATAATAAAGAGATATGGTGACAGAGGATTGCCCTGTCTCAACCCCCTAGAGGGAAACACCGAACCTACCACATTGCGGTTAATAATAAATGAATATGAAACCGTGGAAACACAATCCATAACAAGTCTCACCCATCGATCTGCAAACCCCATTTTAAGCAATAAGTTTTCCAAAAAATACCACTCTACCCGATCATAGGCTTTGCTCATATCCAATTTCATCGCAATTGTCCCCTTTCTACCTTTACTCCGTTTCTTCATGGTATGAAAAATTTCCATTGCTATCAAGGCATTGTCAGTTATTAGTTTACCAGGAACAAATGCACTCTGACTCTCCGAAATGACTTTAGGAATTTATTGTAAATTGATTAATGTATAGTTATTGTTGTTCATTTGTGTATAGGAAATTAGGAATTTATGTTTTTTATTTACAAAGTTAGATTGATTTTCACAATTGTATCAATCGTCAATTGTAGAGTTAGATTTACATCATAATAATTATAATATTATAACATATGTTTTTTATGTTTTTTTTTTTTTTTTTTTTTTTTTTTTTTTAAATTTAATTATTTTAAAGTATAATTTAAATAATTTTTAATAAAAAAAATCAAAAGTTAACCATTTTAACTAAAAAAGTTAGCCATAAACCTAAAAAAGGTCAATATGGTCAATTTTTCTAAACCTTGGTGCCACTAAAGAGAGCTGAAAAAAACTTTGTCTTCCATGTAGAAAATTCAAAACCATGAGGCCACCATATAGAATTTCCCTTTTTTTATTGTACAAAATGACCCTAATTAAGAAATTTATGTCACATATGACATTAATGAGTGTTATTTATTTTAAAAAAACTAACTATGGTTAACTTTGAAAAAAAAAACTAAAAATAAAAACCACCAACCTAGCCACCACCTTCACCCTCATCCCCACCAGATGTAGCCAGCCCCACCCAACCAAGCTCCCCTCGCCGGCGACACTGCTCCAAGCTTACCCTGCTGGCGACGTTGCTCAACCTTGACCACTTCCAGCAAGAATCCCCAACCCGCCAAAGACCCACCTTCTCTCTCCTCACCGCCACCACCACCTCTACCTTCTTCCTCACCTCAACCCGACATTCCCCACCAGACCAAGAACCGCACCACCACCAGACCAAACCCACTGCTCATCCTCCCACCACAACCCACGAACCTCCTTTTCTCTCTCCTCTGACCTCTTCTACGCCCAGATCTAAACCCGTCCGTCGCTCCTAGTTCGATCTACAAAATCCAAATCGTGTTTGGGTTCGGCGATCTGGGGGTGGTCGGGGTTCTGAGTTCGGCGACTTAGTGGTGGTGACGGTGAGAAGGACGAGAGGGAGGGAGGGTTGTGGGTGGGGATTTGGGAATCTGGCTTGGCGGTGGTCGAGGTGGAGTTGGCGCAGTTTCATCGGCGGTCGGGGGAGTCTAGGTAGTGTCGGCGGCGATCGATGGAACCTGGGGTAGTGTCGCCGGAAGGGATATGGTGGTTGGGCAGGTGGTGGCTGGTTTTTGGTGGTTGGGGTTAATTTTTTTAATTTAATTTTATTTTTTTTTATTTATTATTATTTTTTTTTAAAAATAGAAATCTAACCATAGTTAATATTTAATGAAATAAGGTTATGAGTGAGATGAAATTTTTAACTAAGGTCATTTTGTGTAATAAAAAAAAAGGGAGGTGACCATTGGTGCGTAGCAGAAGTTGAGGGTCACCGTTAAGAATTTCCCTATGTTTTTTTAGAAAAAGAAAAAGAAAAGGTGGAAACTATAAGGCTCTTATTAAGGCTTATTACTCTAAGAGTGAGGTGTAGCTTAGCTCACCCGGTTCAAAATGATCCTAGGATCGATTGTCATTACCTGTCCTAGTGGCTCTCTAAACACCAAAAAAATTAAGGCCTCTTACCCTTATATTAACTGAGTCTGCATTAATTAATGTAATACCAATCAAGCACGTCTATCGGTCTATATCCATGATTAAATGCTTCAAATGCCAGCAGAGTAGTTATTGTATTGGCTAGCAACCACACTTTTGTTTGGCTAGCGACCACAGTTGTATAAATCGGGTCCAGGCGAGTTATTTTGATAAATGTATTCTTGTATACGTCATTAATTTTCATTATGTCCGATATTTGGATAAATGACTCTGTCCGATATTTGGACACAGGTACGGGGACACGTCTATACGTCCCTTAAATTTATATAAATAAATTATATATTACAAAAGGTCTAAATTTTTCATTATATCTACCCCTATTTTTTTTTTTTTTTTTATTATAATTCTTTCCTCGGTAAATTCTCCTAATAAATGACAATATTCTTCTCTCCATCTTCTCTATATTTATGCTAGTTTTCGAACAAGATATGTTTTTCTTTCATGTTTCTTCTCTTTTTTCCTCTCCTCTCTTAATGGAAGTGTCCGGGTGCACAGTAAAGGATCGGACACGTGTCCCATGTCTGTGTCCGTGAAGTGTCACGTCGACACGGACACTTCGCGATATTAGCGGTGTCCGATTAACATAGCAACCAATGGTTCACAAAATGGATGAGCGAAAATTGAAAGTTTGCTAGGTTGGACCTTTGAATTAAATCATGTGCCTAAAAACCTGCAAAGTTATGCCGGGCTCATCATATATTAAAGCGGGTTTTTCGAGCTGGATTCGGGTTTTGAAATAAAAATGCAATTTTATGCTTGTCCAAACCCGTTGTTTTTCGGATCGGGCTACCAGGTTGGGCCATTGATAATCACCTCTAAATTTTGCTTTCTTGAAATGCATATGTCGTGACCTGTGGCACCAATCCCCCATAGCTGTTTCAACTCTTCAACAAATGGTTGCTTGTAAACATTCAAGTTCCCTCTTCGGATTTTATGTCCCGAGGTTAAGTATACAAAGGAAGATGGATGATTTTTCCTGTTTACATATAGAAGATCTATGGAGTGATCCTGCTCACTAGAGGTGTTTAAATCCGGGTACGATAGCAAACATGTCTAGCTAGTCAAAATGATTCAACTATTAACAAATGAAATAAATTCCAACATAAGATTTGTAATAATTTTACATAGCCCAAGTAGCTTAGCTTAGTTTTTTTGTTTTTTTTTTTTTTGGTTGAAAGGTAGCTTGTTTTAAATCAGTTTGTTGTTGAATTTGGTAAACTTTGTTTAATTATTGCAAATTGAGCTTCGTAAAAACTAAGAATTAAAAAAAACTACAAACAACAATATAATTCATACCGATGCAAAACCAAAAGATGATACCTTTTACATAGAACATAACACAACTCTTATTTAATGGCTCCTCAAATACTTAGCCACTAGCCAGTATCATAGTAGGAGTCCAAGCACACAGAAATTATAACTACAGCAACCATAACAATAATAATACGAAGTCAAGTCTTAACAACGTTAACCTTAATTCAAGGGACACGGCACGTGCCACCTATAACAGCTCCGTCGCAATAATAAGGATCACAACACTGGAACAACCACCCGTCACACCTATTATGTACATCAACACAACCAAGATTATGGTTGATTTTAGGAGATATGACTCGATCGAGTAGCATGAGAATGTTTTGTGATGGGAGAGTAATAAGCTCATCATTGTTATCGTTACCATTATCGTTAATGGTATTGGCAGAGGTGACAACAATGATGAGCATAAGCATCATGGCTACCATCACCACATTCTTTCCCTTCATCTCCATTATTATCTCTCAAGTAATAATCAAACAAATAAAATGAACTCTTTAGTTTTTTTTTTCTTTTTCTTATTTTGAGAGCTAGTTATGATTTTTGTTGTGTGAGTATGCAAATGCTTTGCTAGCCTTATATAGAAAATGTGAGACCATGCATGGCAAGCTAGCATTGTTTTATATCCACATGTTCAGTCTAATCACTAGATATTTGTTCATGTCATCTCATCTCATGCATTCAATGATTGAGTTTTTTTTTTTTGTTGTAGATTGGGAGTTTTGTTTCTCATTATTTTGTGAAATGAAAAAAAAAAAGGATATTTGTAGGTTGCCTGACGTGAAAATATATTTAAATCTTAGGGCACGTAAACTGTGGCGGAGCCAGGATTTGTAATTCGGGGGGACAAATTTCAGATGTTTAGTAAATCAACAAAATTTAAAAAAAATAAATTATTCACATAAATTGTTTAATATATATTTGAAATTGCATATGAGATATGACAATTATTCTTATATGGCAAAAGAGGAGTTGTTAAAAGTTTCATTGCATATTAAAAAAAAATATCAACCCAAAAAAATAATATTTTGTTGGTAAACCCCAATTTTAAGTTATGTAATCCCCAATCGACAAATACGATTTATCTAATAATAAGTATTTAAACAGATTTATGATAGATATAAAGGGATTTGGGTTACATTCGACAAAAAATAAACACAACTCTTTTTGACTAATGAAATTATTAAACTCTATTCTGTAAAAATAGATTTTGAAACTAAGTTCCAAACAATTAATTAAAAAAAAAATAGAATTTAGGCACACATAATTAAAGAGTAAAATAAAATACAGAGATATGTATTCATTACAAATAGTTGAATAACACATTAGTATTCATTATCAACAAGACGATACTTGATTAAATAGTTAAATGAAAGTAATTAGAGGTTTGAAGACTTGTAGTAATTTGTATATATAAACTATATACTATAAAATGAAATCGAAAAAACAAGTTTTTTTTAAAAAAAGGCAAAGATCCAAAAACAAAAAAAAAAAGAAGTTTTTTTTTTCTTAATTAGAAATTAATAAAGCTTAGTTAAGCTACCCAAATGGGCAGAAAAAGAAGTTAAATGGGAGCACTTTTTTCTTTTTTTTTTTTTTTTTTTGAAAGAAGTTAAATCGGAGCACTTTGTATAAACTATAAAATGAAATAAAAATAAAGTCCAAAAACAGAAAAAATAAAAAAATAAAAAATGTGTGGGTAATGAACCGAACCTGGGATCAAAGAAAAAACAAGCTTTATTAAAGCCCAACAACCACCACACCATGTTAGTTTGTGATACATGTGGATATATATATATATATATATATATATATATATATATATAAAAAAAAAAAAAAAAAAAAAAAAAAAAAAAAAAATATATATATATATATATATATATATATATATATATTGTCCCCTATGTTCCAACGTGGCTCCGCCGCTGTACATAAATACGATTATCAAACCTTATGATATCAAGTGAAAATAAAGTCAATGCTTGAGAGTCAGGAAGACTGTAAAATAATTCTCATTGAATAAATACATATTATAATCTTCAGATATCATATTATAATCTTCAGATATCCGAAATATCATAAAAACAACCAGGTATCCGATTTGGTTTTTCTAATGTTCGGATATTTTGAATTGAATGTCCTATTTTTTTAATTGAATAAATACGTATTAAAGGCCTGTTTTATTCACCTTTTTTTCACTTATATAAGTTCAGATAATTTCTAGTTAAGTTAAGATAAGTTCAGTTTTACAAAATAAGTCCAGATAAGTTCAGTTCAAGAAAAATAAATTCTGATAAGGTTACCCAAGTTCAAATTACAACTAAAATAAGTATTAATAAGTTTAGTTATGTTCAGATAAGTTTGATTAGATTCAAATAAGCTCAGATTAGTTCAGATAAGTGAAAATTAGGTGAATAGAACACACCCTAAGTCTCCCTTCTTATTGTATTAAAAAAAAAAACCCCAAATAATGAACAAAGGAGTAAGTAAAAAGTTAGACCATGACTGTAATCATAATTTTTCATCAATGTACACTATATGCGTGGTTGGTGTCCGGTTAGGACCAAAGAAAGCTAATATCCCTAATGTTTAAAAATAACGTAAAGTTGGGATGCTTTAACATGAATAGGTGAAAATAAGGATTATTATATTTTTACCAATTTTTCTTAATTTTATTTTTTAAAATTTAATATAAAAATTATTATCTCCATTCCAAAAGTTTATAACATTTATTATTACACAAAAATTTGTAAAACTGCTCTGTAGTAAGAGAATGTTTATGCGGTGAGTGGGTGTAAAAAAAAGTTGATAAAGTGGGGTAGAACTAAATAGTGGGTGCATTTGTAAAAATAAAGAAGGTGGTAAGAAATAAAAAGATTTCAAAGAGATGGGCGATATAATGAGAAAATATCTTTTATAAAGTTTAAACAAACTCTTATCAATAGTGTGCGGACAATTTGTACATATAAGATGTTTGTTTATTTATTTGCCTTCATTGATGTTGATTGCCTCTTATATTATGAATAGTATGATATGCGAATGTCAGGGTTGTCACAAATATTTTGGAGGCCTTGTGCCTAGGGGTGCTAATCGAGTTAAGCAGCTCGTGAGCAACTCGGGCTCGACTTGATCAAAGCTCGGTCAAAACTCGGCTCGAGTCGGCTCGACTCGAACTTCGACTCGACTCAAGATGTTAACGAATACGAGTTGAGCAAACTCTAACTCGACTCGATAAGCTCGTGAGCAACTCGATAATATATTTTATTAATATAAAATTTACAAACAAACTTATTACGTATCATTGACAAATTTGACACTTAATAATTAAGAGTTAATTTATATTATCAAAAAAGAAAGAGTAAATCTTTAATAATAAATAAATAATCAAAAGAAAACTATATAAAGTGAACAAACACAACAAAAAGGCCTATAATTTTAAAAGGGTCAAAACTTTAACGAGCATATCGTGAGCTACTCGACTCGACTCGAAACTTTAACAAGCACGAGTCGAGTAGGTTTTATTGGCTCGGAACTTTAACGAGCACGAGTCGAGCACATGAAAAAAGTTTTCGACTCGAGTTGAGCACTCCTTAGCTCGTGATCGACTCGCTCGATTAGCATCCTTTTGCGCCAATTACAAAAACGAGCCCCTGGAATCACTTTCAATTTAAAATAAATTTGGTAATGCATTCCTTGAAAGTAAAAATTTAATTCAATTTATAACATATGCAATAAATAGTCACTTTTTGCTCTGTTTTAAACCGGAGCATTTTTTTCTTGTTACTGACTCCCCCTCCAAGTGATCCGATTCAAAACTGGAGCAAATACCCTATTTTTAACCGGAGCAAAAGTACTTTTTCCATTAGTGGATGGATGGATGTTAGTGATGTGTAAAGCGGATTTTTAACAAATGGACGTGGGTGAAGCAAATGGAATGGTGAATGGATCAAATGTGGGTGACCGAAACTCCACTTGATATGAATTTGGTTCATTGCCATCCACCTTTAGAGCACTCTCACTCAAGGACAAAAAAATGCCTATGAGAAGATATCATGGTAAAATTAGCATCCCACTCATGAGAAAAAAAAAATTCCCATGAGGAGATTGTCAAATGCCCATGGGAATGGCAAAAATAAATTACTACAGTACTCGGGGGCCTTAGCTTTAAAATCAGAAAATTAGATAGTTTAGGAGAGAGAAATGTAGAGAGATAGTCGTGTGGTATTTTTTTTTTTTAGCCTATGAGTGTGTAAGGAGTTATTAAAATAAAACGCCCATGGAGAAAAGTGGAAAAGAGGAGTGAGAAAGTGGGATGAGAGAAAATGACTTTTATTTTTTATTTTTTGCCCATGAGTGAGAGTTGTCTTACACTATAAGAGTTATAATGCTTATATGTATGTCGTGATTGTTGTCATCATATATTATCCACGGACCATGAACATTGTCAAGCAATCACACATTAATTCAATCATTGGCGTTATATGAAGTTGGATTGACTAACTTGTGAGAGGTGTCGATTTGCTGTTTTGCTCCGTTGTATGACAATTCTCCTTACCTACAACTATAACAAAAAATCAAAGGCCTCGTGGTTAATAAGAGCATTTGATGGACTACAATTGCTCTGAAAGTTTTAAACGTAGTTTGATCTTAAAAATGTGTCCATTGTATTTGTAGCATATTCTTCCTCTATTTTAAAATAAAGGAAAAATTGGTTTTAATAATCCCAACTTTTGTTGATTTTCCTTAAATAATCCCAATATTTGATTATTCTGGAATAATACCAACTTATATAGGTATCTTCTTATAATAATGCGAACTTTTGTTTTTGTAATACATAATGGTTCCAAAAGGGATCAACAAAAGCAACCAAAATAATACTTCGGATTATTTTAGGAAGATACATGTATAAGTTGGGATTATTCTTGGATAATCAAAACCTGGGATTTTTGAAGAAAATCAGCTGATTAGGGGGTTTTTCCCCGCCCAGTCAGGATACGCCACGTGGATCTATCAGGGCCTGACATGTGGCACATCCCCATTTGTCCACCATGGACCAGCCACGTCATGCCACGTTGCCTATGAGCACGGCCACCAAAGGCCCGATTCCCGAGAAGCCCAGTCAGATCTAAGGTTTGCCAAAAACCCTAGAATTAGGAACGCTTCCCAAGGTTATAAATACCGTCATTAATCCTCATTAATGGGAGATTACGCTAATCGAAAATTGATCACAAACTATACTCGCGCATTCTTGCTAGACCCGTCCTAGTGGGTGCGCCTCTCCTGATCTCTCCTCCCCTAGAGGAACCAGAACACATCTTTTACCTTTCTGCACCTTTTTACTCCACATACAAGTACTAACTTGATCGTCGGAGGCGGAGCTCCCAACCCCGGAGTCTCTGTTGTTTTGCAGGTACAACGCGTGGATCCAGTCTCGGAGTTGTAACTCTCCCGCAGG